ATACAAGGTCCTTTTTCACTCATTCCATGCCAGAGCAACAGTCCTGGAATATACTTACACTTTGGAAAAATACTCATCTTTTCTGGGGGTGGAGAGTAAAGAGAGATCTTGTCCAAGCAAGAGTCAAGATGGAAACGAATGGTTATCAGCCTTTCCCACCCCAGCCAGCCAAATAAATGCTTAGGAAGCTTCGTGTGTAGGGCCACTTCCAAAGGGGCCGAGCTCTGCTTTCTAATATTCAATCAACCAGTAAACTGGAAGTAGGTAAATCTGCTCCATTACTTTGCTCTAAGTATGGTTGTGACCTGCCTTAGCCCGTTTCTAAATCACTTCATTATGTCCTCACCGTTATGTTACATTTTAGAATTATTCAACGCAAAATGGCAATCTCTTCAACCTCCAGGACAAAGATGGCTTGACAGAGAAGGCTTTGCCTTGTTTTGTTGATGAGGAGAAAGATTCCAGCTTGGGAAGCGGCAGAAATCTGCAGTGGTGCAGCAGCTGGATCCCTCCAGCTGGGAGGATGCTGGTTTCGTTAAGGGATATGACTGGACCACCAGGAGGACAAAGCAAGTTAAGTTCCCCGAGGAGACATTTCTGTCCTTTGCTGCATTCCGGAGGAGGAGCACAGATTGCTGGATGCTGATAGCTATCTGATTTAAATGAGATTCTATACTTGTAAAAAAAAAATCAATAAAGATTAAACAAGAACACGTGTTGGCTTCCTATTCAGAACTGCACTAACGCAGCTGAAATAACAGCGAGAACATGGTTTAATCCTGACCAGCAACTTTGTGCACATCTCACATCCAATTCTGAAAAAAATAAATAAAAGGAACGTGTTGCAGTCTGGGCCAAGCTTTACCTGTATCCAGGCGTCCCACAACTCCGGGTTCTTACCACAAGAGCTAGGCCACGAACGTGGCTTTTTCAGCACTTGTTTCTTCTGGAGTCCCAGCGGTACAGCCAGTCTGGTGGTTTTAAAGGATTTAAATGATTAAAGGTTTGAGTCCAGCCGGAACCACAGGGCCAGGCTCACTGTATAAGCAGGTTTCTGGTTTACCAGACCGAAAACCATTAGACTGAAATCAATAGAGTCGTCCCTGATACAAAACCATAGGAATAACCTCAGCCTCATTTGGATCATTAGTAAAACCAAACGTGATTGGAGTAAGCATAAATGCCAAAGAAAAGATAGCCCTAAACACATTAACTCTCTGTTTACTTCAAAACACCATTAGCACACAGCATTTTTATTATAGAGCCACTCCACAATTTGGTCAAATGAAACAAGTTCTTTATTAAAAGCAAGGTTTCATGGATCTCAACAAAGGGTTTAGAAATCATGGCAAGACTTAAGGGAGCAAACAGTGTACTAAAAAGTCAATTATTAGTAGTTATTCTCATTGGAATTAAAATATCAGGAGCAACTCTAACCCAAACTGAAACAGCTCCAACTACGAATCACAAAACCACTTCTGCAAAATAAATAACATTCACCCAGAGGGGAGAAAAAGAACCACAAAGTCAACAGAAGTTTTCCAAACACTTCTTAAAATTATGACATTTATATTTTAATATTGAGAACTGGAAATAAGTACAGGCCTAGGGAGCAAAAATATTTTTAAGAAAAAGCAGTTTGTAGAATAGCAGCTTTTACTGAAAAGGCAGATTTTGTTTCAAGTTTACATGTAATTAGAAAACTGTATTCCTTGGGTTTTCGAGAGCTTCTCCTCCTCAGCCCTAGGTTGGGCTTCACTGTAACCTCCTGTTTGTGTCCCGGTTTTCCAGGAGGAGCTGCTCCAGACAAACCCAGGGAAGGGAAGCTGCTGTCGCAGCTGGAATTGCAGTGGAATGTTTGAGTGCAGGTAACGATTCCCATGCGACCAACCGTCCTCACACTTCCAGACCAAACGGGGCTCAACAAGTTCGTGAGGAGGCTGTGAGCAAAACGGGCCACGAGCGGCGACGGAAACGGGGCCCGAGAGCGGCTCGTGAGCCCTCCTGCTGCGCGGAAACGCCAGCGTCCACTGAAGCACTACAATGGCACAGAAGCACCAGGAACACTACTAAGTACAGCAATACTTAAAATAAATTAACCGAGCAAATAACCGCTTAAACTCCAGATATACACAAATGTATAGAAAAGTATTTTTCCATAGGTAAGCCCGAGGCAGCTCCAGATAACACATGTGTTAACAGGAAACAAACCAACCAACCAACCTCAGGTTTCTCACATTTTCCTAACGAACAAATACATCCAAAAATAGAGTTACATTTATGAAATTCATAGCAACCGAAACAGAAGGCGGAACGCGGATTAATCCGCATGCAAACGAGGCAGGGAATGTGGTCTGCTGCAACGCGCTGTAGGAAATTCCGTAACCTTGGATACGGCTTCCAAGGACACGGGGCCGCTGGTTAGCGGTGCAATAGCTGAGATGCCGAACGCTACAGTGAGTCATTTCAATGACATGGGTATGCGAGTGAAACGATCCTCCTGCCGCAATGCCCTTATCCGTGGCACACGAGGAACATTCCGAGTGCTCCGTGACGTAAAGGTGCTCCGAAAAACGCTTTCTGCCGGCCGCAAACGCTGCTGCTGCCGCTGCCTCCCCTCCGGCGGGGAGCAGGCAGCAAGCGGCGTCACACTCGAGCAAGCTCCGCTGCAATTAGAATTGTAAATGGCTATTCCTTATTTCTGTGTGCCACAAGACGTGCCAGACACATCTCAGAGAAGGAACCTACTTGCTTAACCAATATGTTACAAGGAAAACATCACTGAAAAAGATTTTATGACAATATAGTCAGTGCCGTATTTGAAATACTGGTTGCCTTAAGTATCATATTGCAGCCAATTTGTAGCATTTTCTTTCAATTTAACAAACAAAGAAACAAACAAACCCAAATTATCCTATCCAAGTGTTGGGGAACTCTGGTGGAAACCCATGCTAACAATAAACCACCTTTTCCAGATACAGTATTTTCAGAAGCAATAGACTTCACGTCAGCGAAATACTCAGAACTGCCTGAGAAGCCTCCTTGCTAGCAGCAGGACTAGGCGTTTGCTGAGGTTAGACCAAGCTTACGCATTTTCTACAGCTCAGGATGCCAAAGCCAGCTCTAACTTACTCCGCTAAGGAGACCTCAAGCAGCAGTGGGAATGCCGTCAGCAGTGACACATCCAGCAGTTCCAGCGCCAGGAAAAACAACACGTGCAGTCCAAAGCTACGGTGCAGACCACTAACTACCCCATGGCTAATAAATGAAACAGCAATCAAAGCAGGCTGCCTTCTTCTGATAATTACTGGGCAGCCGAAGGCAGGCCCGCGCTGTCACGCTGCTGAAAACCTGCCACGCAATTAGCTTGAGCTCGCGGCTGCAGGCACAGGTTGCTGATTTTATTAATGAGCCAATTTCAAGCAGCGTGAAGATTTTAATCTGTGTAAATAAGGGCCAGACACCCAGCATTCTTATTAGCCAAAATTCTTTCACTTGACGTAATTAATAGTTTAATATAAGTAACCTTTTTATTACATAAATGAAGCATCATTTTTCTTTGTAATCTCATTTTCGGCAAATAACCACTGGTCAAAGTCTGTTACTCAGAATTTAGGCAAGATCCACTTAGAAAAGCTGTTATCTTTGGATACCAGGAAGGAGGTATCCTTTGAAGGAACCTTTCTAGAGCTCCTAGAAACTTAAGTAATTCAATGAGTTAAAAAGTAAGTTGCTCTAGGTGCAAACACATCACACTGCGTTCACTCTCAGCTGAATAAAACCGCACAGCAGGAAGGCTCTTAACAACACAGAGCTCCCACTGGATTTAAAACTCTGTAGCTAGCACTACACTGACTGCACTGTCATCTTGATGTTGTATCTGAAGGGGAAAAAAAAAAACAAACAAAAGCAGGTACTTTAGATTTATGGGTGACATTTTGTGATAGCCTGTCAAGGTAACCTTGCACTGTCCAGCAAGGTGAACCTACCAGGAGCAGCAAAACGGCAGCCTTGTCCGGCGCAAACCACCTTCCAGTGCCAGGGCACACCTACCTGCAGCGGGAGCTAAGGGACACCAGGTACTGGAGGTTTTAAGGGTCAAAAGGAAGAAGGAAAAAACGTTATTACAGACAGCACTACACTGCACCAGGTACCCACAGGAATCCCACCAAGAAAAGCGTGTTGACATACAGAGAGGATAATAGATACAGCAGCAAGCGCTCACTAGCAGTGAAGTCCAATTTTCAAGAGCCGTGCAGCCACCTAAGGGGAACGTGAAAGGCATAACAAAGCACACTATAGCTTCGGACAGCTCCGAGAGGGAATTTGTCCAGTATTTACAACAGAAGAGCGGAGATTGCGAGTCCCAAAATCCAGCTGCCTGTACTGAAGAATTGAGATATGATAGAGAAAATTTCAACAATTTTTCCAAGCTCTTATTCCCCCATATTAACCAGTTACGTGTATGAGTACGGTGTAGTTTTCAATACAGAACAGTAGAAGGATAAACATACAATGACTCTCTGCAGTTCATTTCCTAAGTCAATAATCATTTTGCCTTGAAAGTTTGTGGCTTGTGCATTGTAACAGGATAGCAGCAAATATTTAAAGAAAAACATCACCGTCCATATACCAAAAAATATTAAAGAGAAGACTCGTTTGCAAATACATATTTCAAGTATTTAAGTGGTCACTTCCATGCAAATCTGTCTAGTATTTCAGTTTTTCTTGGAAACCAGGTAAAATCTCATCTCAGAGGTTTATGCACTTTGATTAGCAGGTGAGTTTGATACAAAACTAACCTACTTTCAGCTTGAGAAGGACTGAAATGCTGCATTTTGTGCCACACTATATTTTTTTTCCTGGTTATTTCTGAAGACCTCAGAATTCAAGTGAAATCCTTCACAGGGAGCTTGTATATTTGACCAAGGTTTCAACCCATCATGGAACAAAGATCAAAGCCAAACATATCAAATACTCATCTCGGTTCCAGAAAGCCCTTCCACTCATTCTATCACATTATTGCCCAAGTGTCCTATATTATTAGAACCTGATAATCCATCTTCAGAGGAACTCCCTTCAGAGCAAGTCTGGCAAAATGAGACCTGGAGGTTTGGGCTCCACACAGTTGATCCAGAAATTGGCACAGCTTGCATGGTACTGGTGCCCTCCGTAAGCCAGTTTAAAGTTATCCGTTTCCGAATTAAAGGCCTAGAATAGCAAGAATTGAAACAAGTGTGAGAGTCTCATCTACTCCAGGACACAGAAACTAGAGTGGAAAAACGATACTGCACGTCTTCATCCCAGAATGCTACAGCATGGAAGAACCTGGACCCTCTCACTCTGAAATAGATCACCTCCACTTGCAGAAAGAAAGCAGCCAACGAACAATATTTTATTCTAGTCTGCAAAATGTTTGCAGATGGACAAAACTTCCAGCCATCAGGCCTCATAGCTCACATCTACTTTTTCTGTAATAGTCCGTATTAAAGAGCATGATGTGGTTAGTGTTTCCACTTGATCTGAAACCTGGGAGTTAACTCACCTGCTTCGTGCCCTACTAATTCTCCTGCACACCCACAGAGAGGAAGAGCCTGTTCTGCCAGGCAGTCACTAGCTACTGCTTTTATTTCACTGGGTCAAATTTTGCTGGGATTTAGTTTTGCTGTACTTGGGATCAGTGTTACCCTTCAGTGTTTCAGGTTGAATTTGGTCCACTTTCTTCTATTAAATGAACATGCTTTCACAAAAGGAACTTCAGAAGAGGGTGTGTAAAGCCATGAACAAAGTTTGATAATACGTTGCTGGAGGAGACACTGCTTAGAAGTCATGGCAAAAACAAATAAATAAAAATCCAGACCCTCTGAGATATGGTTGATTTTTTGTTCTCCCTGTTCAAGAACAACATGGTTAGCAGCTGTTCCTACTTAAAAACATATATTTTTAATGCTTCATGGCTACTTATTAAAAAGATATTCTAACTCTCTTCCTCATGATCTCAGATTGCCTCCACAGATTTCAGAAAATGCCATTGCCTACTGCACACAGCCAACAGTCCAAGTTTGAAGCAAACAAACGGGGGTTTCCCACCTTCTGCAACAGACACGCGGGCAGCTACAAACTGGGAAACTCCCTGCGGTGAATTTTCTCCCACACAACAGAAGGAGCACAAAACCAGACCGCTATTCACAGGACACGAGCATGCAGACGAGACAGGGGAGGCTCTGGAGCGTGTTAGTTGATCGGATCAAGTATTACAGTCACAGAAACGACTAGGAGGAGTCATGATTGGTACAATTGAGAATGACAGCTGAAGGCCGCTCAGCAATTCAGCCTTCCACACTCAGCTAAGAGAATGATTCTATAAAGAATGTTTTTTTTACAGTTCATACTTTTCTAGGAAGCTCTTCCACAGGTTTCTCTTCTTTCTGAAATAACGTTGAAACCAGAAAGTCAACAAAACTGCTAATAATACATCAACTGGTTGATAGTATTGTGCACATATCTCGGGATACCCTCCCAGCTCTCCTAACTGTAATAGTTCCCCTTCTGGCATGATCTTCAGAGATGCATTTCATTAAAAATACATATATATAGTTGTTAAGTCTCACTACCCAGTTTCTTCCCCATTCTGAACAGTTAAACTCTTCAAACCCTTTATTCACAGCTGTCACCTGTCATACCCCAGGCCCAGTTAATATAGGCCATGGATTATTTCAGTCCCATATATACACATCAGATTTTGCTTTTGCTACTTCCAGTTACAAATTATAGTCGTGAACATTTGTAGATATACCCAACAGTTAAACACAACCAGATCTACATTAAAAACCTAGTGTGACAACGGAGGCTCTGATACTTACTTTACTTCTTGAATCCACGTTTAAGAGGCATACCCCACAGGCAAGATCTTGGGCATTTTTAATGCCTGGACGCAGCATACAAGATGAGAAATCCAGGGAGTTTTCATCCGGCTAAAAGAAGAAGACAGTAACATTTAGGCAGTTTCAGTGACTGAAGTATCAAACAAGCAATATGGCAGAGACAACACACTACATTTTCTCAAAGTGATGCATGATTTAATCAAAACCACCAGTATATATTCGCAAGCTTGCTATACCATCTCCCCCAACATTAAATTGTAACTCTCATGCTCTTGAAAAAGGATTATAAAACAGAGGAAAGAATTTATAAGTTCTATGTTCCCACATCAAAAGAGGAAGAGACTTCTGAAGAAAGACAAAAGCAGCTGCAGTTACATTTCAGCTGCAGCGTATTACAAATTGGATGAAGATAAACAGTGGAATGCAACAACTGCTTGTGCAGCTGCAAGGAAACAAGTCATTGGCCAGCACAGCTTTCAAAAGTGCTATCTGTATCAGTGTTTATCAGTGTTTATTGTCCTGAATTCCGTATTATTTCTTCAACACAAAAGAGCAGTAGTTATTCTTTCTGAATCTAGAATTGCACAGCACTATAAAATGGAATATTAAGGCAAACCAAACCATGTAAGAACTAAGGTTATCAACTGTTGTTAGTATGTCATATATATTCTCAGGTTAAAGAGAGACAAAGGTTGGGAGAATAAGCCTGGATATAACTGAATAAGAGAGCTCAGTGAATGTACTTATTTTTCTGTTACACAATCTTACATTTCAGTCACAAGATAAATGATAATTGAATCTGCGTGGTATAAAATTGCTGCAGCTTTGCTTGAACATAGCAGTGTAATCAGAAACAATCCCTGGAAATGTAAGAGGTTTTAAAGGAACAGTGTTATCACAGAATGTATGTGTACTCTTAAACCATACTCTAGGTATCCTAATTGTGCTCCTCCAGCTGAATGACTGGACAAAAACTGGAATCCTGAAAAAAAACTTACAATAGATCAATCAGATTAATAGATGTGCTCCAATTTTTGTTTACCAAATACAAGAGTGAGGCAAATGAAAAAGTCATATTGTAATTTGTAAAGAAAACCACACAGATATATATAAAATTACCTTCAAAAGACAAAATTAACCTTTCCAGGCACATGCCTGTGAGCTAGGATACTTCTACAAAGTTAATTGGCACTTCTGCACCATTTAGGATCCGTGACTGCAATTTGAGATGAAGGTATCAGGAAAAAGGAATCGGGAACCCCTGTCTCTTAATAGACTTAAGACACAGGTATCATGCGTGTAGGAGAAGCCAGTGTTTGCAGCTCCTGACGTGCTCAGAATTTAGCTGGACAAGGCAAGAGCCACTGCAGCTCAGATGACATGTGAACAAGCTTAGACATTAAGACAATCCCTGTAATCTTCCAAGGAAAAGCACTTTAAGTAGTAAATTTTTATCCACTTGCTTCAATCAAAACAGTATAACCTGATAGCTTTCTAGATTACCACCACTGTCAGATTTCCAATAGATGAATCCCAGGCTATCAACTTCACCTGCCAAGTAGGAAAATAATGAAAGCATAAACTTCACATTCTGACATGATCTGTGTAATACAATGTCACCAAAAATACCTGCTTGCCACCAGTATTTGTCCCAGAGAGGTTTAAAAAGACATAGAAGATGCGTAAAAAAGGACTGATAGTTTAAAATACCTGTTCTGCAAGGAGTGACCTAGGTCAAGATGGCTATTTCAAGCAGAAACCAAGTGTTCAGGGTCTCGTTTATAAAGAAGTTCTTACTGAGGAACAAAGATCTTTAGCTGGTCATAATTGCATTGCAAGAAGGGAGACACAAATTAAGATGCTCAGTGAAAAGATTACGGTTATGGCACATTTACTGATGCTTGATGTGATGTATTGGTATTAACATAAGAAGACAAGACTCATTATGCACAGACTGAGTCAAAAGGATGCGTTACGGTACGCTGGGCCATTTGAAGCACCTACAGACAGGTGACTCCCCAAGAACATGCTTTCACTGCAGTTAAGGAAGGTCATTTTGCGCACTATTTTCTGCAGCACACGCACGGAGTGTGGGATATTTAATGGCGAGCTGATTCCTTGCTTTCCTTCTTCATAGGTTCTGCAGGTGGCCCCCCGCACGCCCGGTTCCTCCAAGCGCCCTTCCCATCGGGTGCTCCCGCTCCTCACCGCCCCCAGAGCCGCTCGCTCGCCCTGAAACGTTTCCGCGGTTGCACGGAAAGCTCTCGTGCTCCCACCAGACTCCTCTCCTCTCAGAACAATTGAGCTCTGCCTGGCAGTTCTGTCCAGAAATGGAAAAGTTATTTTGTCCGTAGCGAGAACCAAAACAAACTTAGGCAATTCAAATCCAGAAAGAAAGGAAAATATCGTAGTTATCCCTGTGCTGCTCGTAGCATATCACCTAAATCACTAAGACACTGGGGCAACATCATGTTTGCAGGTGAGTAAGAGTTACAGAGAGCTTTAATCGTGATTCCACAGACAAGGGCATCTCTATCTTGCAAAAGGAGATTAAGAGAAGTCAGCACACTGTGAAATCACTTTACATGCAATTATGGACTATCTTCTAGAAAAGCTATAGCTTATTGTTGGTCTTACCGTCAAAGCAGCAAGTGACATGAAGCTTATTAAGTTGTTCCACACTTTATCAATATCCTTTAGAAGCTGCTGGAGTTTCTCACTACACACAGCAGTTGCTTTGATACCCAGTTCAACTCTCTTTGTTACTCTATAGACTTCAACAACCCCTGTTGGTATTAACACAGTGGAGAATTACAGGCAGATTAATTGCAAGCACACATTCCTTTAAGTGTACCTGGGAAATAGCAGGGAACAGGCATGGCACGTGCAAGGTACTCATGGGGGTTTATTTCAAAAGTAATCGTTACATTCATTTAGCTGAAGACTTGCTCATTATTTCAGTGCAGGCATAGATTAAGCTAAAAAACAATACTAGGTTGGGAAGCGATCATATATTATTCTCCCAAGAAGATCTTTTAATGGACATAGTAAATCAACACATACCTAATAAATATTCCATGCCTTGAGCAGACTGGATAACTTCAGTGCAAACAGATGAACTACTTATTCCATTTAAGGTATCATTTGCTTTCTTTATTACCTGGTAGAAAAGAATTTAATAAAATGGTAGCATTATCTACCCTACAGTACTTGCTACTGCCACCAACAAGTCTGCCACCAACACAAACTGTTTTAATTTGCCTTTTATATTAAAAAAAAAAAAAGCCCGCATGACATGATTTTATACATTCATGTTGTAATTCTAATGATCAGATAAAAGTAGGAACTGGCAAAACTTCAATGCATTCCCTCAAATATTTTTGTTACTAAAATAATACTTTTAGTGCATGTGTGCTTTGTCATCTACTTTAATAAAAGCATTTACAGTTTTTGTGCACACTCAAAACTACTCTGGCTGTGAAATACCAGCATCAATGTTCCTAACAGCATGCCTCATTAGGTCACTCACAGCCCAGGAACTGCAAATTAACCAGTTACTTGGTAATTTACGCAACAGCCAAACTAATCATAAGTGACAGGGAGATTAGGCCAGGATCTTTAGCTGAGGAGGTGCCACTTCTACTCTGTGACAGCTTTTGGTTTAAAAGATGTGATTGACTCCAGCTGACTCACACCCTTCTACACGTACACGGTCTGCAGCACTGACCACAGCCGTACCCAGGAGTTGGGAGAGGTGACACACTTACTTGCAGGGCACTTTCCAAGCATCTCTGCCATTCATACGCGTACCTCTCACTCTCCTGTTGGAAAGAAAAAGACTCTGAGTCCTGTTCCTACACTGATCCTACCACAGTAAATGCCCAGAAGATGAGTATATAAAGCAACTTTTTACAGGTTAGGTATAAGAATGTTTTTAATACTTATTTCCATTATTTTAAATTCTCTAAATACTCTATTTCAATATTAAAATTTTGATTTCTGGGAGTTAAAATTAGTTTCAAAAGAAAAGAAAACAAGTACGAATAGGTAAAAAGTTTGAATTGCACTTTCCTACTCCAGACACGTTTGTTATAGTTCTAATGTTACTGAAATGGGGATTAGCAGAATTTAATCTGAGTTGCTTTACTATCTACGCTCAACACGAGAGAAATAATTATCACATAGCCAAAAAACTTAAGCCCTTTCCCAAAGCCAGTAGTGTCAGAGCCAAAACTGGGATTAGATTTTAGTTGTAAACGAATTTTCAGCCACAAGGTTAGACAACCAGTTCAAGCTATCCTGACAGTTTTGGACAACAGGTTTTCTTCCATATATCACAAGGCTTTAAAACCAAGAAGAAAGAAGCTTCCTTAATGAGCAGTTTCCAATCAAAGCACCTAATATTACTGAGCTTGTTTTAAAATCAGTCGTTAAATTAAAACTAGCTAAAGCCCCAAATAGCTGGGATGCAGAACACCTTTAACCCTGATGGACATCATTGCTGACTCACCTGCCTCCCAGGTAACTCCTTACCTCCACTTCCCCAGTTAAGTCTTTGTATTTGTCTCTGATGACAGGCAAAGCAGGCTTCTCACTCAGAGTATTTGAACGATCTCTAAATGGTTGTTCCAAAACTGGTAAAGGTGAAGAGCGGCTTATTTCTCTGTCACCTAGGCTTAAGCTCCTTTTATGCGACCCTGGGAGTGTTAGGATACAAACTGGTTATTCTTCTACATATAAGACAGCAACTGCTTACAATGAGTAGTAGCACATCGTAGCTACCATTCTACTCTAGAGCAAAGCCTTCTACTTACCCGGGAAATTATGCAAATTTCCCCAGTTTTTCAGTTCTTACTTTTTTTGGTACAGTAGGTTTCTATAGCTAGAAAAAGGCCTATTCCAAACACTACAAAAACCATCAGAAGATGCAGCTTGCTTTCAGTAGTCTTTGGAACCATTCCCACTGCCCACTTTGCAATTCAATAGGACAAACAAACGTTCAATAAATGTATGTGTTATGAGCCTCCTCCACCCCAAACACACCTACCTTGGACAGACAGGTCAAAGGTAGCCAGTTCACTCTTGATCATTTCTTCACTAGACTTCACCTTGCCTTGGGAAGTCGCTACCAAGAAGTCAAACTTGCTGATTTTGGGCTTTTCGCTTTGGAATTCTCCGAAGTCATCTGCAGGCTCTTTTGGCAATTCAGCAGAGACCTGGCTAGCAATGAAATCTGCCTCGTGATTTGCATCTCCTGCTGCTGCTGCATCCCGTGCGCCTGATGAAGGCCTCGCAAAACCGCCGAAGTCTCCGACGTCGTCATCGCTCGCAGCGCCGGGGATCAGGCCGCAGTCTCTGAAGTTTGCAAAGGCTGCAAACGGAGCGTCCTGCAAAGCATCCTCGCTAGAAAAGGTTGTCACTTTGGAAACTGTTGTCATGGTAATGTTTTCCGAACTGCCAAACAAAGTCTCCTTCTTCTGAAGGACTGAAGTGGCTGCAGAGGATCCACTTCCTGGAGGCTGGACGAAGGCAGGGAGCTTCTTGCCCTGATGAACGTCCTCCTTGTCGGACCAGTCGTAGCTTGCCAGGCTGCTGACCGCAGACCCGCTGTTATAGCTTCCAAATGGGGCACATTTTAAGTCATCCATATCTGAGAAAAACAAACCCCTGTAGTTAGAAGGTGACGCTTAGCAAATGCGGTCTCTCTACACCGCATAAGAATAATAGCAACTCGCTAAGAGTCTTAAAGGACTGCAGAAACAAGTGCAGGGAGTTGTTTCAGTGAGGCTTAAACCAGAGTTTGCAAAAAGAAAGGTAATCTGAAAAACAGCTAAGCACAGAACTAAAAAAACTGTTTAATAGATCTAAGCCTTTTTCTTAGAATATTGTCTTATATTTTAACCTGAAAAATCTCCATCCTATTATGAAGAGTGAAGAAACACACTAAATATGCGTATATATTTCTAGACAGTACACACCACACAAATCATCAGTTTCAGTTTTCTGATATTGGTTGCAGAATCTACAGGAAAAAATATAGATGTTAGCAACTCAAATAGCTTACGAAAACCAACAACATAGGAAACTAGGCTACCTTTTCCAGCCTCTCAGATAAAAATATTAATTCAGTTGTATATTCATATTTTGACACAAATGAAGTATAGAAATGTGCTGCAAAAATTTTTAAAAAATAGTGTTTAAGGGTATCTGTTGCAGCAGTGCTGCTTGACTGATTCCTTACAAGTTTCAGGACTGACATGAATATTGCAAAGAACTTGTTTTAGCTTTTACATATGCACAGAAGTATAGAGAAAGTCCAGTTATTCTGCAGCAAGCTCCGAGCATTTATACTCACCCAGCAATTATACAGGCCCATAGGTTCTTCTCAGAGCCACAGGCAGGTATGAGAACAGCCTATTTGCTCACGTTAGCGCCAGCGCAGACCACGCAGCGACTGCTGGGCTGGGGCTGCTGCTGCTACTTGTCTTTCACAGCTACACGGAGACGGATCCGCAGGGAAGGCAGAGAGAGTCAGGGGCTGTGGAGCCTTCACTGAAGCATTAACGAAAAGCAAACCCTACGCTCCTACGTTTGGCGTTTGCTCTCCAGCGTTACCGATTGTCAGTTTGGATTAGACACGCGGCTGCTGCTCTGTGCCCACGGTCAGACGTCCCAAGGCAAAGCAAGCACGAGGCAGAAACTCGCAGCAACCTGCCCTGTGCAACGGGCTGGTTTGGAGGGGCTGTCCCCCCGGAACAGCAACGTGGGCTGCACAGGGACGAGGTGGAACACGGAGACAAGTCCAGCTGCCCTTCTTATTCAATCTGGTCCTGCTAGCCTGAGGATTAAACCACGTTCACAAAACATTTCTGCCTTCATGTAGTCATTTCGCTGCAAAGGGAGAGGACCCTGTGCTTTAGGCTGCTTCCCAGGCCTGCCCCACATACATGATTAATTAAGAACTCTGACAGCTCTACGAAATAACGACAGAATTGTTTAACGGCCTCTGCAACAAAGCGAAAAGCCTCTTTGTGCCAGGTGAGCACAGCGTAACGGGGCCCAGCTCAGACACCGCTGCGGGGCAGCCCTCCTGCAGCTGCACGTGCTGCTGCCCTTGGGAACGGGCATGAGCACCGGCCACGCGTGCAGCGAGGTGCCAGCGTGCCCGGCACATCGGGGCCCCGGAGCGGGCACTTCACCAAGGGCAAAGCGCAGGAGAGATGAAGCCACCTGCGGAAACGGGGCTGCCCGGGAGCAAGGCGCCAACCTGCGAGGGATCGAGAGCCTAGCACAAGAAATGACGTTTCTCTCCAACTCGAATTTTCAATTAACGAAGTTAAAGGTTCCCTAGCACTAAAAAGATTATCAAAAAAAAAAAAAAGTTATTATCCAACTGGAGGCATTACTGGGAGCTTGAAAACAAACCACGGCATAATAACCAATCTCTTAATCTCTTTACTCCAACAGAGTGCTGACTTCTGCACCCAAAGATTTTTGTCCTACCCCGGTTTCAGCGCCCGCACAATCCATCTCAAAGCACCTCTGTGCCAACGGGGTAGAGCTGGAGCTGCACACACAGCCCGAAGCACCCGCTCCGGGTCCTCCTCCCGCTCCGGGGCAGCAGCTCCAGGCGCTCCCGGCCTCCCGCAGCCTCCGCTGCGCCCGGAGCTCCTCGCAGGACGAGGCTTTAAACCTTCTCAAACCAAGATCCAAGATTCTGCGTTTGCAATCGAGCAGGCATGAAACCTGCCTGAGCAAGTCCATGAGCTGGGATGGAATGTTAGCGTGCAGTTTATACATTTTACTCATTTAAATAGTTCTACTGATTACAAAAATATTACTCTAGCGAATAAACTTTCATGAGAGTTTTATAGGGAAAATGTGTTTGCAGACAAAATGTTCCTAGCTAAAGTAATCCTAGAACAACCTTTGAAAAGTATAGATTTAAGAGTGTAGAGGCAACTCCCCGTAATTCAAGTAAACTAGCTTTTATAAGATTTTTAATTTAACTGAGAAAAAAGAAGCAATGTTTGCTAGGATTTGCACTGAATTTATCACAAGTTAGATGTTTTGCATGGAAGAAGCAGAATCCTGCAGTGTGATAGCTGTGCTAAGAGGAACGGCTTATCGAGGCTCTTAACGCACCCGCTGCGTAATGAAAAGAGGAGAAACGAGAGTTTATTTTTCCCCCTGACAGGTAGCAGAGCCACCAGCCTAATAAGCAAAGCAGCAGTTGACGTGTGAAAAGCCCCAGAGAACTCGGTGCAATGTGGGCACCTCTATTACTGGCGTGAAGGTTGTTTTATTAAGCACAGTTAAGAACTGCTCTGGCAACAGCCACTTTCCTTGAGACCACAAATATGATTAATGAATCAAAAAAGCTCCAGTTAAAATACTGCAATTATAATCTCTGGGGTAATAAAAGCTTCATTTTACTGTTATTGCAATTCAATATTAAAAATGCACATGGATTAGCAATATTTTTTCAAAGCAAGAAACAATTAAGTTGGGGAAAAAAAGAACTAATTCTAGCTAAGCATCACACTTCACAAAAACTGATGCTACCGAGGACCAGCTACTGCTATTTCCTACTGCAGGAAAGTTTTGGTAAGAACGGAATCCTAATAAGAGTTAAGCATCAATTTTTCATCGTAGAATGAGCAAAAACTAAATCCATTCAGAACTGCCAAAATGCTTTGCTTTCAGAATATGCAATCTTTCTTGCTAATGTTATTTAAAAAAAAATCCCCTTAAAAAAAAAAACCCACAATCCAAAAGCAATCTGCCATCTGGCCTTCTCTCTCCCCATTACTATGCATTTATTTTAGGAAGGATTAGCACTCTAATATCGCGAGGGACGTCTCAGTTTTGCTGAGTTAAAGGCGGTCAGTGCTTTTTGGGCAGCACAGACGGCCCTGCTGAAGCGTCCTGAAACGCTGCACGAGGGAGGAACCCTGCGCTGCCACCGCCGGTGCGCGGGGACACAGCGCTCCTCGTGACCGCAGCAGCAGCGCTGCTTTCCCAAACAGCAGATTTGGGTTTGTTTTTGTTATAAAGGCTCCTACTCCCCATATACCCACCAGCACATGTAATTAGTGCTGCCGGCCTTCCCCTGCTAGGCCGCAGAACACGCTCCAGAGGAAACGCAGCGGAGACGGATCCTCGAAGCGGCTGCCACGGGGCAGCGGGAGGGAGCGTGTGTGTGCAGGTGTCCACAGAACCCAGCCCAGACCCATTCCAGTACATAACCACATTGTCATGTTAGTTTGGGACATCTACATTATTTTCTAACAAACCAGGAGAGCAAAAAGCGATTTTCACAGTGTCAAGCCTGAGTGCAGCAAGTTTCTGGAGGTTTTAGGAACAGAGCTCAGAGTTTCTCTCTTTCAAAGCAAAAGGTTTGAAATATTTACCGGTTACTTCCCATCTCTTTTGAGCTTCCAAGACCATATTCCCTGCCTGGTGATCACTTGGGAAGAGCCACAGCTCAGAAGTCGGCCATGGAGCTGTTGATGAGAGGTAGAGGGATACTTGCCAAGAAACATAAAGAAAACAGGATGAAATACAGATAAAACAATGTTCCTAGTGTTATCTCATCTACAGAAAAACTTGACATACTTCATTCGAGCCAACGACAACAACTCAGTTCAACCACCATGGATTAAGTTATGCCTGGGAGCAGATTACAAGCTGGAGTTTTCCGTGTCAAGGGTTTCATCTTTCAAGAAAACACTTGGCCTGCATTAGGGATACGGTACAGAAAAGGCACAGATGACAATTGAGAAGGTGTAACATCTATTGAGTTATTCTAGCCGACAAGGAGGTTTTGCCTTTTGTCTTGCAGTTTATACCGAGCCCAGACGAGTAGCTGCAGTCGCCCATCGCCTGCTGGTTGTTAAGGCAACTCGGGTGGCAGCGAGCTCTGCTCTGGAGCGGCAGCATCAACGCACCAAAGCCCCGGCAGCCCGGGGCGGGCAGCGCGGCCGGCGCGGTCCGAGGCGCCGGGAATGGGAACGGGAACGCGGCTGGAGCCCGCGGCGGCTCCGGGGAACCTCCTGCGCAGGAGCCGCGCTATCCAGGCCTGCGCTGGGGAACCAGGAATGCTGAGTGACTCGGGAGTAACTGAAATAAAGGAGAAAGGAGAGAAAAGCCTCCAAACCTTGTGGAATTAACAAATCCTACTAATTATTTCTTATTATCACGATAAACAAAGCTCCACAGTGGAACAAAGACCCTCCGAGCCTGCGTTAGAAGTTGGGAACAGCTCACTTGAATGCTTCAGGAAGCCCAGCTGGGGTTTGAGAGTTGCTCTGTACACCGGGGCCTCTCTGCTCAGCCTCGACTGCGTTCACGACACACACAAACCCTCAGAGGAAACATTAGTATTTTAAAGCCCTTGTCTCAGTGAGACTGAGTGAGTGAATGTGACTGTCAAGCCAGGACGAAAAAGCAGTAAGAGGGACAGTCATGAACAGGCCTCTCCTTCCTCCAGGTGTGATTAGAACAAATACTAGTAACGCAGCCTTACGAGACTTTGGTTTAAAAAGCTTTAGGGCTTCACATAATGTACTGGTTCTCTAAAATGAAAGAGCTTTTGCTTTTAAAGTCACTCAAGATTGTTGCAAAGAGGAAAAAAAAAAAAAAATCAGGCTTCTCGCCTCTTTTGCTCCAGGGCACAGAGGTGAAAAAGTGAAGTTTGCCAGGCAGACCATTTGCTCATTATCCCACATCTCAATTATTTCTAACTTGTTACCTTGTCTGCTAATTTGACAATAACCCAGAACTGTTAGCAGCCCAGAGCCTGGAAGAATTCAAAGTGACACAATTACATAACACAAATTTGCCCCCGTCGTTTGTGTTTGAAAGAACTCCAATATCCAGTAAGGCAGGACTTTCTCAAGAGAGGCAAAGGAAGCAGGACCCTTTGGGGGCATTTGTTAACTCACTCTAGATTAGCAAAATAAGTATCAGAATATTGTTTAATGGCTTCCTGCCCATAAGGGCCCAGCTAGTTATGTATTTTCCCAAGGGCCCTTGTCACAAAGCCACAGGACGACCTGGCTGCAGCCGGCACATCCAGGTGAGCAGACAGGACAGAGATGCAGGATTGCTGTTTCACTCCAGTCACCCTCAGTGCCAACCCACAGCACCAGCCTGGTCCCCGTACAGCCCCCCTGGCCAGCCCCTCTCCCCAGAAGGGCTTCAAATAGCACTGCTTAGCCCAAGACTGAAAGCTTCAGAGCGCGCGGACAGGTCAGGTCAAGATGCTGAAGAGCTGGAGCCCGTGGGTTCACTGCTCTACAAGAGAAAGGTACCCACAGTTTAAGGGGATACTATAACTTTAAACTTTGTATTTTCAGAAAAAAAGAGAGAGATACACACATTGCTGGGTTGCAAACAAATCACACACACCCCCACGCTTTCAAAATATGCCAAGATAATATTTATTAACACAGCAGGACTTACAGGTCACAAAAGATAGTGATACAGAGGAGCTTGTAAGGGCGTTATCAGAATAAAGCATGCAGGTCAATACTTGCAGAAGAGATATCAAAGCAGATTTGAGAAGGCACATTCACACAGGAAATGTTTAGTTGAAATAAGACATTAGAAAAGCAGCAAAAACCTGAAGTTGATTAAAATATACAGAGATCTTCAATTATGCCAAAGAAAAGGTATTTTACAGATTTGTAAGTGCAGCAAACTGCATAACCCCTTTGAGAATACGCTGACCGAGGGTACATTCGTGCTGCAGCGTTCGACAGAGCTCAGAGCAAATTAGGCTCTTGTAGCACAACTAGACACCAATTAAAATACTTTAATCATGGAGTAAAAGGTAAATTTCGTGTCAAAGAAGCAGCCTCACTGACCTCAACAACGTGCAGCCAGCGCTCAAATGGTTATTGCAGTATACGCGAGAAAAATCAGGCAACATTAGTATCATGTACCTTCCAGCAAAGGATTATAGCAAAGTTCAAAGAGACAGTATCCCCTTTGGAGAGAGCAAAACCCAACACATCCCTGCCCTCCGAGGCGGCAGTCGGGCACTGGGAAGGGACTACGGATCCTCTGCCTAATCCCGGCCATACCAACCTGCTGCCCCTACCCAAAGGCTGCGCTAAAACATGTCCGGAGGCGAAGGATGGAGCCGTCCTTGTCGGCATGTCGGGAAAGCCCGGTCCTTAGCAAGCCAGGGCTTGCAAAGCCCACGGGCCCCGGCGGCTGCCACCTCGCCACGGCGAGCACTGCAAAGGGATACTGTCCCTTTGTGACATTAGATTTACAGATCCAAGGAAATGGAAGAAAAAAATCCTGCTTTTTAAGTTGTCGACTCAAATAAATAAATAAATAAATGGTCGGAACATCAGCAGTTCATAGCTTGAAATGTATCAAACATACAGAAAGGAGCACATGAGCACAGGGGTGTTTGTAACAGGGTTCAGAGCAAGCTCCGCTGCGAGACCAGAACAGACCCAAACGGAGTCAAACTCTCCACGTGGAAAAACACCTAGCTTGGCACCATAAGAGAATACAGGCTTGTTTTGTTTAATAAAAATAGCCTCTAATTAATACTTCAGAATTCAAAAGTTTAGCAACAAGCACATGATCGGCTAACCCCCTTAAACGACGACAACAAAAAAATTTGTCTGCCACAAATGGCAATCGTTAATACTGGTTTCTGTGGCCAAAACTCGCAGATAGTAGAAGAGCTACCTAAGTCAAACTACCACTAAAAGAGGCTAGAAAAATATTAGGAAAAAGTGCTTCCAAAACCAAAGTAAACATTCAAGAATACACTGTAGGTGCTACGTTTTTGACAGCTCGCTCAACTTGGAATTTTACCAAGCAGTAATATGAAAATTAAATGTCTTTGCTAGTAAAATTATTCCTGATATTTTGTACCCTGTTATAGAGTATCTTCCATGTCAAAGTTGCCAACTTAATTTTCTTTCCCCTACTTAAAAATATCTTATAATGCAAAATTACAGTACTGTATATTTTCTCTACCCATATCTGCAAAAATGGAAGAAATATTACATATGGAAATAACCAATTTCTGCAGTAACAGCTTTTAGATTTACAGTTTGTGTGCTCCCCCTGTTCAGAAAAGCCTCTGACTGCATAATACTTGTCACTAGAACACAGTAATGGTTCCCGTATTATCGAAGGCCACAGAGCATTTAACTACATCTTATCTTCCTATATACACATGAGAAGAAAAAGCAGGACACTTGGGAAATTTGCTTTATGATATGCGATCAGATTGGAGATGCTTAATTCATTCACTCACGAATACTTCCCTAAGGGGAAGTTAAAGAAGGTTATAACCTCACAAGGATAAAAGTCCCTTGGTTTGAAATTTAGGTCCAAAAGCTAGCAATAATTATTTAGGTCCAAAAGCTAGCATTTACAAGTCCTCTACACAATTACTCCAATAAAGTTTTAATTCTAAAAAGCATATGCAATACTTCCACTTGCAGTCCTGCACAATGCTGGCTACAGAGATTAAGTCCCACCATCACGGGAATATACTAGTGTTGTTGATTAGACGAGGTTTCATTAACCGCACAAATTAGTGTTCTGCCTACCCTTGTAGAAGCACAGAGCAGGTTAAGCCCCAAGCCAAATGCTTTGTTGAAACCAAGGGATTAAAGCAAGACTCTGCCACTCACCTAGCTCATACACGTGGAACCACGATGTTTCCATTAAAATTTTTCCACTCAAATCCCTTAAGTGACAATTGCTAACAGGTATCATTAACATAATGTTGTCATATCTCAAAAATAAACTGGAACTGAGTTCAGACTGACTAGTCTCTTTACAGTCATCTAAGACCAAAAAAAGACCCCAAACAAAACAAAAACCTTTCAAGGGGCTGGCGGCAAGCGGGTGCACAGATCCAGAAGCCCTTCACTACTGAAAGACTAGTGCATAATACTGTAATTTAGCACACACAAGAATACTGAAATCACCATCACCTACATTACCAGAGCAATCTAACCAATTCCTCACCTGCTGCTGGTGGATGCTGGCCACTAACTGTTGGCAAATCCAAAGAGCTATCAGACATGACATGTTTAAGATCTCCTCCCACATCAGCCAGTTTCATGTCAAACTGAACGGACAACGCATCTTCAGAATCCTCCTTGCCAACGCTGCTGCCGCCAATGGAAGGCAGATCTAGAGACTTCACTGAAGCAGAGTCTTCTTTGGCCTGCTTGAAAGCTGCCACTTTGTCCACCAAGGACTTATCCGCACTGTTGCATGAGGAAGAAAACTTGTTAGAGTGGAAGTCGGCAAAATCGTCATCGCTCTTCACTGAGGAAACCGTGTTGTCCTTGGCCTCCTCAAAGCCGACCCCAGGGCCTTCCAGGGAGAGCTGCTTGAAGATATCGTATTTAGTGGGTGTAGCGGTGGTGGCAGAATTCTGCCCACTCTTCACTGCGCTGGCAGAGGAGCCAGACTGAGGAACAGGACTGGCCTCTAGCTTAAGTGCATTGTATTTGTCATCCGTTTTTTGTTCAGAAAATCCACTGCTATTATTGAAAGCCATAAAATCTGCAAAGTCATCTTGTCCACTGGCTGTTGTGCAATTAGAAAATTCTCCAAAAAGGTTGAACTCTCCAAAGTCATCAGCTAAGCTTGAGCTTTTGCTGGGTGCTGGCTGGGCAGTAGCAGATGGAAGCGGTGGCAGAGGAAAAGAGGCTGATTTTGATGTATTGAATGCAGGTGGAAATGAGAGCTGCTTGTTCTCTCCAGTAGAGGAAAAGAGATCCAAGTCTGCTAGGTTCAAAGAGGTCTTTGATTGTGTTTGCTGTTTGGACTGAACGGGTAGAGAAGGGAAGGATGGAGGGAAAGTTTTGTCTTTTGTAGGTGGCTCTAATGGTGAGACACTGTCAGCGGTTTTAAAATCTGTGAAACCGTCATCAGTTCCTGCAGACTTGAATTCTGCAAGGTTATCTCCTGAGGAGAAAAACAATGGAAGAAAGTAGGATATTGCAATGACAACAAATGCATCTTGTTCACACCATGCAAGCAAGCAAATTATTTCATGCAATGTGAGAAGTTTTTATGCAAACTATTTAGATTAAGGGCTCAGAATGCAAGCAGAACTGCAAACTCAACTTCTATGAATCACACAAGCTTCAGGGTCAGTTATCCTAATACTCATTCCAGCAAAACTTAAAAAGCCCTTCAAAAAGCCCCCAAGTCATGTTGCATTCCCTTTACACAGTATCAAAGCACACCGTGAACAATAGATTCAAAGGGGATCAGCTCTGTCTCTTTCAGCTCCTGAATACGTTTTCCCCACCTCATCCTTCTGATATTTGCCAAGCAAATAATCTAATCTTGAATTTCACTTATACCAATAGAGCATTTGTTTGGTTACAGAAGCAATTCTCCCCTTTCCTGTCTTCAAAATATTTCACAAATAATTTTTTTTCAGAGGATGTCAGCAGGAGGCCGAGACAGAAGCAGCCCCTGTTGAAAGGGCAGCACAGGAGGGACAAACTGGATTTGATTGGTGCTTGAGGTGGTTCATGACACCTAAGAAGGCTGATAATGCTATGGAAGGGATTATAATTTAAACCTGATTGAACAACATGAAGAATAATATTTTAATTGAATCTACAATAAATATTTTGGTGTACTAGTTTCATAAATGCCTCCCTGTCCATATATGAATTTTATCTAAAAAAAATCTAATATATGAAAACAACATGGAAAATGGTATTTTATTAACCCATTCACCAGCATATATTTGCTTATATAGACTGTAATTTTAAAGTAGTGATGCATATTTTATGACAAATGTCCAACATTGTATACAACATCTTTTTTCCTATTTTAGAACTACACCATTAACATCTGTAAAACTGATTTAACTCTTAAACTGTCACTTCATGTCATATTTTAGCTTAGTTTAACCACGACTTAACAGAGTACTGCCTATACAGGTAGTAGAGCACTATGGCTACACCTGACATTACTCCATCCTCCTCCATCTCCAAAAAAGTCTCTGGGCCCGAAAGCAATACAAGAACTTTTGAAATTGCCATTCACTTATCACAACTAAAAACATCACAGCAAACTAAACTTACTGATGAACTGCAAACTTTTCCATTAGAAATGTAAGCTGGTGAAAGGGTTAAGAGTGGTCAGACATAGGTAACAGGCAAATACAACTTTTTCTCAGGCCATCAGGCAGGCCGTTTTGTCCTAGAATCGAAAATGCGGTGTACAAATAACAGGAGAAAACGCCAGTGGGTAATGTAAGTTTATTACTAATTGAATTTGACTTCCACAAAGTCAAATTCTGCTCTGTCCACTGTAATGTAAGGAAGTTAGCAAAGTTTGAGATTGGAGATATCTTTACCTTCTGATTAAAAATATAGGCATATACTGCATAAATGAATTACACACCAGGGGCTTTGGAAAAGGATTAGGAAAATTGCTCTTTTGTAATTGCATCCCATGAGGAATCCAAAAGAGGGGCCAATCTTCTATAAAGCCACAGTTGTGGACTGTGACAGCAGTCCCTTGTACTCCTGTTTCACGAGACTTCCTGCCAGCTTCCTCGGAGCGCCGGCAGGACAACGGTTCTGGCACCCGGCACTGGAAACGCAGCGGATCATAGGGAACCACCAACACACATGAAAATACACTCGAGCAGCTCCACAAAATAGCCTGCTTACCTAAGTATTTGCTCTCCGATGGTTGTTCCAGTTCACGGAAAGCACTGTATTTGTCTCCACATTCTAGTGCATGCGAGAAAAGAAATAAATTTACACAATGATATTATGAACTCAAACATCCTATATATTAGCTCAATTGCTTTAAATTTTTATACTAACATTTTACAAAAGACAGAAATGTAAGAAATATGAAATATTGAAATGAATTGCACATAGTTGCTGAATGGTTTTCCTTTTACCTCCAAAAGCAGATGAGCTCTCAGAAGGCTTCTCAGCTGAAATTCCTTTAAATACAGCATACTTATCAGTTGATGGGAGCGGTTTACTACCTGGGAGTGGCATTAGCAAAGAAGGAACACTAAAAACAAAGAAACAACAACAACAAAAAAAGATAAAAGCAGAGATCCTTAGCTTATCAACAAAAAAACGACTCTTCCAGCTTTTATTAAAATAAATAATAAAAAGGAACCACTATTCAAAAAGAATTTGAATTTCTGCGCAGTGCAAATCAGCAAGTTTAGGTAGCCATGTCCTTAGTAAAATAAGGATTATTCCAGTTACACAAGTGAAGCATTTTGCTCACAGACACACACTGTACAGTAAAGCCACCATAACAGCATAACCCTGTGCTAGCAATTGCTGGAAGATTTAAGAGACGCCCTGTAACGGCTCTGCGTGCCCTCCACGCAAGCCCCCTTATCAGCCCCTGGCAGCTCTACAGAACAACATCATTTACATCTGAATGTGCATTTTACCTCTAGTTTATGTCATGGAAAACATGAATGAATTTCTACGGTATTCTTTGGCCTGAAGCAAGAATCTTTCCAGAGCCATTTAAGTCTCCTTATCAGCAGCCTGCAAGCAACATACAAACCCAGCCTTGCACACACGTGCTAACGATGGGCAGACAGGCAGTGCAACGTCAAAAAAATATAGCTTATGGTAATGTAATTAAATTTCACATCACTCTGAAACGGGCTATTAGATATGCAATCTTGGCAAATGTAATGGTTAATCATCTGCACTCTACAGATGGCTTTTTTTATTATTATTTTAATAAAGCTCCATAAGCAATTAGCTTATAGCACATTGTAACATTCTGTTCAAAACTGAATGCTTTTACAACTGAATAAAGAGAACTGCTGCCATGAAAAAGAAACATCAGTTTTCCAGGATCCCCTGCTTTCCATTGTTGATTTTAAAAACAATGTTTTTTTAAACTCTCCCTAGCGGGATGTCTAAAATGAAGACTATACTGAAAACAGGGCACTTTCAGACAAATGTGGCATAACTGACATCAACAAAATTAAATTCCTTACATACAATGCCATCATTCACACTGCAACCAAAAGAGTGGTGAATAATGCCATCCTATTTGAAGCTGCTGTTGAGGAAGTACCTCATAATTGCTATTTACCTGGAAAGTATTAGTTGTGTTTGCAACTATGGACAGTCAGTCCAATACACTGAAAATGTGTGTGTCTACAATTACATACAATTACACACAAAATTTTGCACTGTGCAATAAAAGGAAAGACTTTGGGATTTTATGATCTGAGGACTTTGAAAGATTGACTTTAAGCTTTCAAAGGAAGCAAATACCAATACTTATTTGTTACACAAAATTTGCCTGCACCAAGATTACATCTTGGCAGCCTCCCAAATGAAAAGGCAAGACTGCTAAAGTCTGATTCAATTCACATTAATAGTCAATTATTAAAAGTTTAAACACTGGCCAGAAAGATGATAGAAAGAATGAGAACCCTATCCACTACAGTTCTGCACCATTCGGAAGAATATGATGCCACCTTCTTTGCAGACCTGATGCCAGTGAATGTTTTCTATCCATCTCAACAACACTGGCTCATGCTCTCAAGAGAAGCACTCAGTGCTAAGAGCAGCAGTCACCTGTTCCAATGCACTTTTCTGAAGAGCTGTACGTATGATTTTTGTGTGACTGCTCGGTATGAAGCGGCCTGTGCAATAGTGTGAACATTTCAAAAACCTATCCACACACTTTGTGTATGTGATTTACCTCAGCATGGTGAACAGAGCGCTAAAGAACAGCCAACCACCCAAGCTACATCAAAAGCCATTTTTAATTCAGAAAGCTTAATTGTAGTTGTAATAGCCTTCAAAAGCAACAGCCAGGGTAGAAGCCGGGTGATGGAGGAAAATTACAGGCTAAAAAGCTACCCACAAAAGAGTAAAACATTTCATTTCATAAAAGAGTTTTAAAGTACTGAAGGGGTGGAAAATTGAGCATCTACTACCTGCTCCGGTGCTGTGAACTGGCTGCTTTGGAGGAGCCCGGTACATCCCCTTGGAAATCAGTGAAAGAGTCATCTATTGAGCCAGACTTTGAAGCATCCTGGAACTCCTGGAAGTCATCCTCCTCTGGCTTTACCACCTGGAATACAGATAGGGCATACACTGATATACTGCTATCCTCCCAGGTTGTCACACAGCATTAAACCTGTTTGGTTTTTAAGGTGGGGGAAAATCCCTCTGAACAACCCACTCTCCACTTCCAGCATTAATACGCCAAATATGCCTGAGCCTCACCCTGCTCCAAGCACACACAGGGTGGTCAGGATTACAGAAAGCATGCAAGAACTGTTGAATACGGACCTCTGTTCCCTTCACATTAAGTGTATTATTCATGGTAGCCATGATATCTTTTAACACAGGAAGAATACTATTAATTTTAATCAATCGTACACATAGCAAAAACATCAGAAGAAATGCTCTAGCAAGAAGGATAAACCATATTTGCAACACTGAAACTGATCCCCACGTCATCTACTGTTTTGGAGAAAAAGGCTTTTATTGATCTTAGCTTTTCTTGATAATTCTAACTTATTAACTAACAGATTCCTTTGGGTAGTTTAACCTAAATCTCCATTTTATGGGCATTATAAGAATCTAACTACAATTAAAATTCTCTTACAAGAATTTGCAGTGGAGATAGCTAGTTTGTAATGGAGAAAGACATTTTTTCTTTTAACCTGCAACATCACCAAAAGGAAATGTAAAAAACACGGGACATTTACAGTGGCATGGCTTCAGTTCTAGATGACACATTCTAGATTTCAGTTTTGTCATTTACTTAAGCTCTGTTGTATTTTGCAGCTCTCCCGTGCTCGTGGCCGTGCTCACCTGGCCAGGCGGGTAGGACGGTGCGAACGCTGCCGCAGTTCTAGATGACGCATTCTAGATTTCAGTTTTTTTTGTCATTTACTTAAGTTCTGTTGTATTTTGCAGCTCTCCCATGCTCGTGGCCGTGCTCACCTGGCCGGGCGGGTAGGACGGTGCGAACGCTGCCGCGGGCTGGGGGGCCGCTCCGCCCGCCGGGGCCGTGATGCTCATTCCCATGACGGCGGCTCCCATGCTGAGGGGCAGGGAAACCGGCGGTGCAGAGGGCAGCAGAGGCTGCTGGCTCACCGGAGCAGGCAGGGACATTGGTAATCCAGTTAAAGTGGGCACAGGGGCAGCTGGAAACTGGTTTAACACGTCAGGACTCACTGCTGGTATTCCTCTCTGCACAAGCAGAAAAGCAGAGACATCACAGAGGACACGTTAACAACAACCACCATGTACTCCATTCTCACCTCCAGTTTCTAGCTCTTCAACAGCCTGCAGTGTGAATCCTGCTTAATACTCCGAGTGCTGGAGCTGCATGGATGGCAATGACAGACCTCACCTGAGTGTTGAGGAACATTTGACTGCATTTTTGTTCAGCTTTAATAAGCAAAGCTGGCAAGCACTGGGAAGCAAAGCTGTGTTGAAGCTGGTCTTGCTACGCAGCCTTTCCCCCACGCACCACTCCCATGTGGTACCTCAGTTAGGATCTTCACAGCTTGAGACACTCGTGCCTTAGCTTCCATGGAGGGATGGTATTTTCTGACAGCTCTCTACTAAACTGGTAAAATATGACACTACACTAACACTTGGCAAATGCTTAAAATCAGCTATTTTTGGTGCAGGAGAGAAGGCAGCAAGTTCAGCTGTTTACAGTCTAGGTATAGAGCAACCACAGAATTTGTGGGGAACAAATATATATATACACACACAACAGAAGAAATACAAGCAGTGCTTTATATTTACAAGATGTGAACAAAACACGTGTAAGAATGATGACACTAAAGGAAGGAATAATTGTAGTATAAGTGCAGAAGAGAATGAAATTATAGTTTCATTGAAGTTGGTTTCTCTTCCAGACTTCAGCAGAACTGGTACTTTATCAGAAGTGTGGCACCCTGGCCACTTGTGCTGCCACGCAATGCCTGGCAGAGGAGTTAGGGGCACTACCCTTCTGCATCAGTTTCCAAAGTGTTAGTTGTACCTGAGTCACTGCTATCATAGCCAGGACAGCATAAAGCTCTTCCTTTGTGAGCTTCCCAGGTGTGGTACGGTTGGCTAGAGCCCAGATTTGTCCAAGGGTCTCTCTGGGCAATCCAGATGACATCAGGATGGGGTAGAGTTTTGCAGTATCGATTCCAGTAGGAGTCATCGTGGTTTCTAAAATTTTCTTATACAACTCTGTAAAGAGGGACTCAATATTAGATAGTGACAACTGCCGTTTCCAAGTGGATTTAAGATTGCTTTTCTATTCTGTCTCAAATTCTTAACATATAGCACATAAAATTAATAGCATTCAAAAAAGCACAGGCATTCTGGCATCATTTTCAATAGTGTTGTTTCACTTAAAAGCAGTATTTGATGGTCTTGGCACATACGTTTACACAAAGAAGAAACATTTTAAATAATGCTTTTAATGCTCTCTATTTAAAAACACCTATCTTTAATAAGCTTCTAGGATAATTCTTAAGAAAAGATAGCTATAGAAGCTTTCTGTATTTAGAATTCAGTGTAAACATAATGAACTACAGCATTCCATTTTCTATTTACTGTTATTTGCATATATAAGGTAAAAAATACCTTACAAACAAAATACCCATGAAACAGTAACTTCTACTAGCATAATCTGCTATAATTCCAAAGCCCAGATTAAACATTTAATGTGCTTTTTATGTCCACCCTTTAACTTATTTATTTTACCTGGGACCAAACTATCATTGTAAATCCAGGGAGGCATCATCTGCTGCATTGGATCCTGCGAAGGGAACACTCCAACTCCTAAGTGTGTACCATTTAGCAAGAAGAAGAAGGAGATGACTCTTATTAGGACATCAAATTCAGAGCATGAACTTCTTTGAGACTACACCAGTTTGTCAGTATCATTTAGCATTTCAAACAAAGATTTCATACAGGAGTCACTGCGCCCAGAGAGGAAAAAGAACTTCTACAGTCAATATGTATTTCAAAGATAACTAGAATGACTGGGAGTAACAGTAAGAACACAATTCTACACCTACAAGGAAATAAAGACCTCCTCATTTGCAAAATTTCTGGTTGAACAGAAGCTCAAGTCTCATAACGCAGTTCTGTGCCATATCATATTTAGTCTTCCCATCAATACATTTCTACTTAGGGCCATTTGTAGATCAAATAAATGTACACCAACTGAAAACAGAAGCCTAAGAAACATTTATAACCCTGCACCAGATAATCCTGCTCAGGGAAACAGCCTGAATCTCTGCAGCATCTTCACATTTTGTATCCATGGCCTCAACTGCTCTTAGTCTTCTGCATCTGAAGACATCATCGCTGTCTTCACTGCCACAGTTTCATAATGGGATCTGTCACACTTTAATCCCTGTGTGTTGAATATTTACTTCTGCAGTGCACTAAATCTTCCCCTCAGTCTTGCAGCTTTACTCCCTGATCCAACAGATTTTTTTCTTGACTCAGAGGAAGCTCTGACAAGCTCTTCATTATTTAAGAATTTACTCATTCTTTCCCAGTGTCCTTATATCTTCGCATCTTCCACACCAATTCTCTCTTGACTACAGTCTAATTTCTAATCATCCCATAGCTCCAAGCACATTTTAATACAAGCAATTCCTTCCATTTCACCAGCCATGCAAAAGACATTTGCTGCTGCTTCCTCCAATCTGATTATTATTCCCCAAGAAGTGCCCAAGACACTTCTGCATATTACCAATTCTTGCTCCCCTCCTTGAACACCTAGTATAACTCAACTCCCCAAAACGAAAAAATAGCAAAAGTGAAAAGGAATTTGTTTAGTTCATGTAGTCGATGCAGAAGAGAATCTTGCTCAAAACTTTGATAACACGAAGATGGCTGAAGGTCTGCAATTTTTCAGTATTTCCTTTTCTTTACCATTACCGCTCTCTACCAAACTTCTGTTCCACAGAAAGTACTTGAGCTTCTCTCTCAAAGTTCCCTTAGCATCAGGAATTATTCTGAACTCACAAGCTACATAATCACTTTCAACATCACCATCATCTGCAGGTTGTCCCTCACCTTAAGCTGAGGTTATTTGTCCTCCATCTCCCTTCCTCTCTCTTTTTTTTGTGTGTGTGAACAACGCAGTTATTTTGCATGGACTGAATTATGAATAAATGAATAGCTCCTGTTTCATGCCGTATATTCTTTTGGGTTAAGTAATTTTTAATAATTTACCATTTATTAAAAAGGCCCTCCACTTATTAAAAAATCCCCATTTGAACCATTAAGTTCATCCAATGAGATTTCTTAATACATATACATATATAGGACAAGATAACACTTGAAAGCAACATATCCAAACAGCCAGAGCGCAACACACAAAAATATTAATAAAAAAGTTACTGTACTTGTAGAAAATAACTGCTTGAAAAAGTGCCTAATGTATTTATCTACGCACAGGAAACTTGTTTCGCCTCTCCATTTCATCTCACCCTCCAGTGAAGTGAGATTACACAAAGGACTTGTATTTATTGTCTAATACGCTGGAGTTCAAGTTTCATGTAATCCTAAAGTCCAATAGCAGAGCACTAACCAAGGTTGCAACAAGCAACAAATAACCAGTAAAAATCCCAAATATTCAATTCTCAATTTTAACAAAATGCAGTGGAATTAAAGCTTGCTTAAAGTTTGACTTACTTCATCTGGTCCAGCTTTTGAAATTTTGACCCCTAGAATGCAGGCAACTTTAGACAAAACGTGTATGAGAGGTAAATTGTCTAGGAACCTAATAGCGTCTGCCTAAGGACTTTAACCTAACAAGTGTTTACTCCCTCAAAGTTCAAGGTAAGAATCCACCATGATATTGACTATCTTTAGTAGCGAATTCCTTAAATAAATAAGGAATCTGTAGAGAACACTCCCCCCCGCCTCCCTCCCCCAAGGAGGAGGACAGTATATTTTAAAAAAGAAGCAGACCTGATTAAACAAACATGTTAAAGTGATTACAGTAGTAAATTTATGTGGAAAGAGTTCAGAGCAAAATCACAGTTGTTACTTTCAGCAGGAGCAAGAGGCATCGACATATTATTCAAGCAGGCATTCAGAGCAAAATTATGCAGCATTGGCCTGAGAATTAGTGTATGAAGTGTTAGCATTCAAGCAGCATTAGATGTAAATTCTGTCACGTTTCATTTGCTCACCACGCTCTTCAGCTGCTATGTTTTGTTCTGAAGCCTTGCGCGCCTCTGTAGCAATGGTACCACTTTCATGTCCACCTACAACCCCCCAGTCTCTGCTGGTTAGACTGGGCTGAACTTGGCTTGCTGAGGCTTTGTGCCCAACTTCGGGTGTTTTAAGTTTGGTTTGGTCTCGTTCAGATTCATTTAAGTCATTATCTAAGACTTTCTCCTCCAAGGAAGAGCCTGAATAAACAGCAGGAGGAAGTGTTTAAATTTTGTTATTAGCACCCAGACCATAATTCTGCACTTCTAAAGAAAAAGTTTACTGGTACCACTGATGAATTATCAAGATCACTATCTGTCCCAGGTCACAGCAATACTACCACCCTGTTCCAACACTTTCAGGGCTAATTCTTCTCCCTGATGTACCAGACATACGAAAGAAAGTTTAAAATAAAATAGGAGAGGAAGTACATTAAATATATAACCACATAAATGTTCCACAGCAGCATAACATTTTTATATCATCAGATCAATATCATCCATTTGCCCTATACATTTTTTTAAAAAGAAAACAAACAAACAAACAAAGCTAGTAGAGAGTGAAGACTTAATTCTCTTATTATCAGCTACATGCATATTTAACAACCTTTGGATTGACACATGACTTGCTCTGGCAGTAAAGTTCTAAGGGAAGGAGGAGAGGAACTTAATCGGTTTTCCTCATGGATCAGCAGGTTTCTACTTTATTGCCTATGTTATTACTTTTTCTCAATTAGAGCAAATAACAATAAGAGAGGGAATGACTCTGTATCTCTATGACAGAAAATGTCATTAAAAAAAAAAAAAGATATTTTGAGTTACCTGTTTTATGGATACTGGGTGAAGATGCAGAGGTAGGAAAATAAGGAAGCTGCCCAGCAGAACCATGCAGGACGGGCAGCACCGGAGGCTGGGCCGAAGGGGGAGGCTGGACCACGGCCTTTTCTGAGAGCAGCGGCCCAGCCTCAGCAGCAGAATGGAAAGGCTGGAAAGGCTGAGAGGTGGCTGGAGGCACCAGTTTGGGGGGTTCAACAGGCCCTTGTATAAAGTCACTAAATTCTCCATCATCAAGAAAAGTAGAGTGGGGAACAGATACAGCAGAATGGGATGATGTGGGATGATCTGCAAAATGGAATGAACACACAATGCAAAGTGATGAGGAAAAAGGCTCTTTAGGTGGGACAGCAGGGAAAAAATGATAAGTACTAGGTATGCACAGCAAATGGGTGAGGAGAAACAGCGGAGGATACATTATTTGACAAAGATGGAACAGTCACCCTGGTTAGCACAACTGAAATACATGAGGTGAAACCGAGCAGCCACTTCCCACCATGCATCTTCTCTACCAGTTTTTTATGATGTTAAAGGTTGGGTTGAAACTTGATTCTTAACACTGTGAAAGTATTCCATTTGTTTTAAACAAACTGGGACAAAACTAATCAAAAGATAACATCCTCAAATAGACGTAACTGGGGGGAGGGGAGCAAGGGGGGAGACAATAAGGATATTCTACCTCAAAGAATCATTTTATCCTCAGAAATTCAGTAATTCATTATAAGATCCAAAATAAGTTTATATTCATTTAGACAGCTTTCAGATTGATCCCCTTCTCACATTACCCATTTTACCAAAATTGACATGGCATGCGCAAGTCAACAGGCAAGGGAGTGTCAGAAAAACTCTCATGACTTCAGAATCATTTAAGAGCAAAACCATAGAACAGATGAAGATTTCTCTGGGAAAAAGTTTGCCTAGACGAGCTTTGTTTCAGGCTAGACACAAAGCAAGCTGTACAACCACAATTCAAAGGATATCTGTAGCAATAATTATTACAAGGTAGTTATTACTGAGAAAACAGAATACAACTGACTTCAGTTTGGCCATGCCCAGGTAATGGCATAAACATAAGCTCTTCAAGTACACTGAAGTCATTTTGCAAAGTCTTGATAATACTTAGCACTTATAGAGCACTTCTCAACTTCAAAAGCACTCGGCAAAACATTAATTAAATCTTTGTCTAAGAAAAAAAAAAAAGCAAACTCCATTATAACATTTAGGATCAAAGTATATAAAGGAAGTTGCTAATGGTGGGCTTAACATTTGTTATCAGTTTACATGAGACTTCACATTAGGCACATCACATTAAGCTTCCTTTTAAAGACACCAAGTCTTCTAATAAAAGCTAGAATCTAGCATTTCACTGTCATAAACTGGTAAAGCAAACACCAGCTAGGATGACATTTCATTTTACAATAAAGACAATCCCCTGCATAAAGGTACTTCTTGGAATCAAAATTCTTAGCAGGAGGAACTGAACATCAGAGTTTGGAGTTGGAAGATGACAAACCTGGCTTTTTTGGATGCGATGCTGGTGTTGGGTGCATTTTAGCATCTCTAGAAAAACCATCCAAGTTTCCTTTAATGGCTTCCAGTGCATCATCTCGACTTTTTTCACCTGTCTAAAACATGACAGAACATTTGACTCAGTTTTCTTTCAACAGCCACACTTGTTTAGGAAAAAAAAAAAAAAAAAAGAGGCTGCATTTAGATTAAAACCTTCTTTCTCCAGCAATGTAAGAACAAGAACTCTGCTATTTATACGGGAGATTATTTTGCAGACCACACAGTGATGGCAATTCTCAGGCTTCAGTCATACAGTTTGTGTATTAGAACAAAGTATAAGCATTACTCAGCTATTCGTATTCTTGCAGACAAGAATTTGTAAGCTCACTGGAATGATTCAAAAAACTTAATAAAGTTAATGAACAAACCACCAAACAATCTATTCTGGAAACTCCCTCTGTTCCCAAGTCTTACACACCAAGTAAGTTTATTTTTGAAAAGCTGATCTCATTTTCAACACCAGTTTGTTTACATTACTCCAAAAGTATGTAAAGGAATTAATTTTCCAGATTCTTCCCAAGAACTAATTTGATGCCTCACATAAATTTCCCACTTATCTTCTTGTCAAATGAGACAACCTCATTAAAAGTCAAGTTACAATACATATAGAAAAAGGAAAAGAAAAACAAACAAACAAATACACCACTAATTATTTAGGGCATACCTTAGGTTTCACACTGCTCAACAGTCTCAGTTTTTGTTTCTGCTCCTCAAACTGGCGCCGTTTTCGTTCTTCTTCTAAGAATTTCTGCTGGTGCTCAAACCTCTTTCTAAAAGCAAAATGATGAAAAAGATAAATAAAGGTTTTTTCTTTTTTTTCATTATAATGTTCCCCATCAAGCTTCTTAATTTTTCCACTTCTCTTTCTCAAATTCAGCTGGCTTGGTGTACATACCTCCACTTCTCGCAGAATTATAAGACGACACACACTGCTACTTCACAGACTGCTTTCAAATGCAAAGGAACGATCTTATCGCTATTTTCTAGTCTGAACTGTACTTCTTTCTAGAGAAACTATCTATGATAATTTTACTATGCAGACTACCATGCCAGAGTATGGTTGTCCCACAAAAAAAAAAAAAAAAACAGAAAATCAAGCCTCACTTACTGTTGTTCTTCTGCAAACTGCTTCTGCATGTCAGGGGTATACTGTGGGGCTGTTGGGCGCATTCCTAGGAAAGAAGCCTGTCCCATGTAAGGCATTCCAGTTGCTTGCATCGGCCCTAAAGGCATGCCACCCTGGAACAAAAAAGAAGAAAATAATAATAATAATACAACTCCATGATCTTGTTTCACAGAAAAAAAGTCAAAACACCGGAAATTACACAATGCCAGAGTGTGAACTAGCTAGATTTCATAAAATCTAAAGCACTGGATGAGAAGCTTGGATGACTGTTAAAGGAAAAGCATCGGTCGTTCAGTAGATGGCACTCTTCCCTCTCAATGCAGAATCACAGTTCCTAAAGCAATTTAAAAGTCAGGCTGAATTAGTAGCTACTTAACAGTTCAATACTGCTACTAACCATACTTAGCAGCAGGTGCCATCTAACAGCTTTTTAAGATGTTACAACAGTTTTGTTTCTGTTGCTGTTGAAGGCCCACCCTTCTGCTACCAGACCTTGATATAATACCACATTATTACACACAAGAAATGAAAGGTCAGGTTATATTACCTTTAACTGGACTGTAACATCAAAGTTGCCTTAGATGTTGCTGATATTGTCCTTGTACTTCACCCTCGTTTCTCTCTATTCCACAGCAGTGAGTAATATATGCCAAACTCCCACCCCCTCTCTATTCAGTTCCCTATGAAGCCTAGACTGAACAAACACCCAAGCAGCCCATTGGACCCAAGTCACTCACCTGCATGGCCATGGGTCCCGGCGGCATCTGGGAGCCGTAATTCATGCCCATCATGCCTGGCATGTTGGACTGCATGACAGAAACCATTGGGAACCCTTGCTGTTGCATAGGAATCATCCCTAAAACAAAATATTAAACCAGGTTTAAAGCTTGTTTTTTGTTTTCCTATTAAACCATACTAAGATTTCAATAGCCATGTTGACAGGCATTGATAATTCCCCATTTCTCTTGAAGCAGGAAGCTTTTGAAGATATATCAATGAGCTTTTGAAGATATATCAATGAGAGATAAACTCCTATCATTTTCACAACAAAACTCCCACATTTTAAGTTGCCTGGATAGATTAGTTAAACCACTATCTATATTAGAATGGTTAAAAGGTTTTCAGTAAAAGCTAAACCGAGTAGGTCAAATTAGGCTGAAATGTATTAATTCACTGAATAAAACCAAATGGATTATCTTGCTTCATATCTCACACTTTGCTGTCTTGGGAGACACATACTAACAGGAAATACAGATGTGTTACCAGCACTCTGAGGCAATCATAACTGTGCATAACTTAACATCACAGGTAAAAGCACTCCCAGGGGGACATAATATGCTCATAAGAGATCCTTAAATCAGTCCCTCAAAAATGTTGTTTTTCAAGAAAATTTTCCCTCCCCCAAGTTCCCTCTGCATTTTTCTTTAATTAAACAAACATCGCTGGGATAGAAATGAGAACAAAGGTAATTTAAGGCTGAGACTCTCCTATTGTATTAATACTTTCCACACAGATTGCACCTCTTGTCCCAGGGTCTTGCTGTGCTTTGTAAATATTTACCAGGTCTTGCAACACCCACACAACATGGGCATGCACAGCTGGTAGATGAAGCATAAAGAGGTTAAATACCACGTTCAAAATGATACAGAAATCTTAAAGGCAAATTTGAGTTCCAAACAGAGTTCTAGCTCCTAGATCTTTAATCTAGTATCCTGGTAATAGTGCTTCTTCAACATGATATAGACATTTTTACAAATAATGTTGCAAGACTCAGCTTACTGATGCTGAATCGAAGCGGAAAAACAGCTGAGGAGGTCACTTAACAGTCACATTTCTGAGCATCAGCACAGGACAGAAATAACTTTAATGTATCTAAACAAAGGCTCACAATCTGAAATTCATACATACCTTGAGGAGGGCCTAAACCACCTGCTACAGGAAACATGAAGCTGGGGATAGAAAAAAAAGGTATGTAAGAGTCTGTAATTTGAATGCAACTTCTCTACAGAAACAAATGAAAAAGCTACCTCGACTTGCATGCCAGCATCACCACCAACCTGCCCCACCTTGTGCTCAGCACATTCATCTGCTGCTGCAGGTTTCACAGAGCAGAACATCCCTACGTTACGGGAAAAGCCATCTCTCCCAGGGATCCTCAGCACGGATGCTCCAAAGGAGAGCTGCACTGGCACTACTGTCACAGGCAGCAAAATGAAGAAGTCTCTCATCTGCTCTAATACTACTAAAACGCTTTCGACTCCTCTACCTCACCCACCTAAGGGTTTTCAGCACCTTTATAAACGTGGGCTAGGCCTCCAAGAACTGCAGAATGAATAAGCACCTGCTGGAGCAATCTGCTTCCGCAGGATCCGTAACTGCACCAGCAAACAGCTCTCAGCTGCTTGGTAACAGTTTTTCTGCGGACAAATAAACTATCCAACCAGCTATCAACGAGCATCACAAAGTGATGTCTTTTATATTTTGTCAATTACATCTAATTATATGAAAAAAAAAGCAGAAAGTGGAAAAAAATCATGCAAGTATCAAAGGCTAAGCACACCTGGAGGAAGAACTGTTAAAAATTTAACTGAAACTCTAATGGCAACTACCAGCCCTCACTTGGAAATGAAAGCATTGCTGTGCTGCCAAGCAGGAAAAAAGACCTCGTTTCGAAGTCTCATTTGCAAGCAACACTTAAAAACATACGTCAGCAGCAATTTACCAGATGAGAACTTCATTCACTGACTCAGCCAACTATTACATCAAAATACTATGCAAAGAAACATATTTATAGATACTCAATATTCCTCAGCGCAAGGGTGGGTGTAAAAGAAGCCGTCAAAATGGCAAAGGAGAAAATGCTACCAAAACTGACCGCAGGCAGTTCCTAAAACCTTCAGTAAAACCAGAAAGACATCCCCGTCTATAAATATGAAAGAGTGGTGCAATAAATGTCCCAAGATGGAACAAGGAATTCAGCTTGCGAATAAATACATAATTTAATTGTTACTACCTCCAATACAGACAGCAGGTTACATGGTCACCACAACAACCTACATTATTCTTCTTTTCATCCCTTCAACGTGGAATCTTTTTAATACCTTCTGCCCTGGATAACCACCAGGAAACACCCCCATTTCTCCCTCCATATCTCGCACAGACTGCTGTGACCCAGCAGCTCGTTCTTACCATTCTTTATCACCACAATTTTTAGTTTCTGTATTTGAAACGCTATCCAACCTCAGAACACGTGCTGGGACTCTCCAGATGGGATTCGGTTCAAACAGTCTGAACTGTGACCAAAACACGTTCAGCTGATGGGGGTTCAATTTGGCCATTTCAACCTACTTATTAGCATCCAAGCATCAGCATCACAAAGACAAACAACTGGCTTTAAAGATCCTAGACGGGGCCATGCTCCCCCACCTTGGTCAGTAAGGTCCAAGGGCTGGAGTCCAGCCACTTGACTGGATGTTGCCCGCATAGGATTTCACCTATGGAAACCGTCCTGGCACCCACCAGCAAAGAGTGCCACTGCCACCAGGGTAACGAAGCCTCTTAACGGGTGTAATTTCAGATGCAGAGAGGTTTTGACATAAGTCAGACCTACAAGTACAACAATTTTAGGCATCAAAAAAACCCACACCATTACTTGTTTCTTCAAAACATTAACAGTTAAATTTTAAAAGCTCACAGATAACTCAAGGTATTCTCAGTTTCGTGTTTTCCCTTCTCCATGGGGAATCCGGTCACAGAAACAAGAATCCTTCCAAGTCAGCAAACGTCATGTCACCTAAACAAGCACTGCAAGGTACCATTGCTTGTTGCAAGCAAATAAAGGCCAGCCTATTAAATATTTATCCCTTTCTACAGAAGTCCTGATTTATTTATAAGTCTCTGATGAAAGAAAGAAAAAAGAAAAGCAACAAGAGAAAGCTGCAGCTAATTAGAGGAGTCTGAAAGAAGAGCTCGTTAAACAAAGGCAGCAAAGGAAGCTGCTCTGCCACAGCACCCTGCACACACAGCTGGGATCCACCAGACCTCGCGCCAAGACGCAGCGACGCGTTTGCCCACGTTGGCTGCAAACACTCACCAAAACCCCCACGCGCTGCTTTACTCAAACGACACGCGTTATTTCTGGACGCTTTTCATCCACACATCACGTTCAAGCAGCTGATTCTCATCACGGAAAAAGAAAGTTGTCACAGCAAGTTCTTAGGCAAAACCGAAGCAGCACGGAAAGTTACAGAACTTGAATTACTATATAGATATCGATAGGATCAATAACTGAAGCAACTCTCATTTAAAGGACAATTTTTAATTCCAGGAGTCTCAAAGTAATACTAACAAGACAATTACAGAATAAATGGACACCTTAAAAAGGGATGAAACAGTTTCTTTTCTGCATTCATATTTCACTGCAGAAGTGACAAGCTAGGTATACCATTTTCCCATCAACAACTGCATTTTTCAGTCTCCTAATTCCCAGTGAAAACAATTTTATCAATACAACAGAGACTAAACCACAGATTTTTTCAATGGCAAATTGCTACCCAGAAACCCACAATAATGAAAGTGAAACAAAGCAAAAGAACACAGAGAAAGTTTTTCCTCTATTACCGATCTTCAAACTAGAAAAAAAATAAAATAAAATAATGAGGAACAAGGATTTAAAAAGCCTCTTGTTTTTCAAAATCTAGAGTTTTCTGACTGCCTTTGTCACTCCTTCCAAGCCCACTGCCAGCTAAAGCAGAGAGCGCAGCTCTGCACAAGGAGGGACGGTCCGTCCAGCCCCTCGCAAGGATTTTCCCACATCGGTCAATGTGGTCCCCGCGTCCCAGCCGAGGCCGGAGCGGAGCCGACGCCAACACAGACAAAACCGCTCAGTTTGGGGCTCCAAGAAGACACAGGGAATTTATATCCCCTTTGTCAAGGAGCAGCTCACCTAACTGTGTCCCTCTGCAGAAGCAAGGCAATAAATAAATCACACGTAAGACTCCAGGTTAAATATATATGTGTATATATATATATATCATATACATATGTGTATATACACACAAACACATATATATATGCACACATATATACATGCACTACTAGATCTTCCGTTTCAAAGGCAGCAGCACACAAAGCCTTTTCTCCTTTCAGAACCACGGGGACTGGGGAACATGCCTCGTTTCCCAACGTTTAGTCTCCCTTTGAGCCCAAATTTCTGAGGGGCGGCTGTGGAGCCGGGTCACAACCGGGAAACACCCCCTAAGCCTCCCAAAAGGCTTAGGGAGGGAAGGGGGGAATGAAGAGGGAAGGCACAAAGGGAGCAAACCG